ACGCGCGAAGACCGCGTAAAGGGCCGGCGATCGATCTATAGCAACCAGCTCATGCACCCGGAGTGGATGGTGGACATACCGACACAGCTCAATGGCACGCACGCCGGCAACGGCGAGGGCTGGCTCGTCTTGCCGCGCCCCGACGGCAAGCGCTGCCTCGTGATCGCAGCCAAGTAGGTCACGCGTCGCATGCTGCATCTCGTCGTCTTACAATCCCTCGTGTAGTGGCACGACCATCGCGCGGACGCACAGCGGGAGCGTGCTCAAGAAGTTTCCGTCGGCGCTGCCCAGCGGTACGACGACCTCGACGACCTCCAATGGTAGCTCATGTACGCATGAGGCTCGCGCAAGACGAAATACGGCGCCGACCAGTACTGCGTCCTCGACTGCATCTTCAACGACGTTGACGGAACCTTTTACGTTCTTGATGTCATGTGCTGGAAGGTAGGTTGTCGACCAAGGCGCCGGTCGCTCACCTCGATCGTAGGGCTACCTCTTGTACGACTGCACGGCCGAGTTTCGCTTCTACTGGCTCCAAGACAAGCTCTCCGAGACGTCGGCCGCGACTATCTCGTCGGCCAATCCATTTGCCTTTCAGGTATCCAGCCGCGTATATATACTATCCAATGGAGCCTTGAATCCGATTCTTCGTAGCCGATTCCGTACTTTGACTGCACGCCGGAAGGGCTCTCGACGGCGTACTATGGCGCGTTTTCCTTCTCCAAGTACAACCTTTTCGCCTCCACGCTTATGCTACATGGACGGTAGGGACGGACTTCTCTTCTACTGCAAGGCGGGTGTCTATACGCTCGGGCTCTCGCCACTCGTGCTGCTCTGGAAGGACGCAACCACAAGTCCATATCCGAGCCAGCTCACGATCGTGCTGACAGTGACCGAGGCTTTTGCGTGTGAAACGATTGAAGGACACGTGCTCACCACGCTCGCACCCGAGACCATGACAGGGCATGAGGTACGCGGTCGGATGTGCACACCGCCGAGGTCTGAGAGCGAAGGGTAGATTGTGGCGGGCGATCTGGTGCGGTGCTCGATCGAAACGCTGGCGTGGATGGTGGCGGACGACAGCTCCGTGGTGGTTGATGCGACCGGCGTTCATTTCCAGAAGCGCTGCTCGGCCCAGCGCGGGATCGCCGACAGCTGGACCAAGATTGCGCACATTCTCAGCACCACGTGCTCGATTCAGCACCTCCTGGAGGTACCAAATCCCAGTCTCGTCTGTGCATGTCGATACATCCTGTGCTAGGCGACGGCCGATGTCGCCATGGACACGGAAGGCTGAGCAGTGCATTCACTCTTGTTACACCTGGAACGTGGACGATTGGTGCGTTACCATTACCAGAAGAAAAGGCGTGCGCAGTCGACTCGATGAGCATAGAATACGATACAGCCTTCTCCACTCGACTTTTCGTGGATGAGAGACGTGCCCATCTTATGTTTGCCGTTGGCCACCGAGTCAGCGTCCAATTCGCTCGTACGTTGGTGGTATCATGTGCTTTGGCCGACCCATACAAGGGACTGTAGTGTTGATATTCTGTTGCCGCAAAGCTCCGTGATGGTTTTCACCGTGCAACAGGGCTGCAGCTGCTTTAAAAGTTGCGTTTAGCGGTGCATGCGTGTCAGTCAGCTCTTGGTTCTCAGAGTATTATATATAATACCTGGTCGGACGAGCCTGTAGGATCCCAACTTCGAAATGTGAGCTATTGCGACCACAGCTCATTCTACTACACGTACTAGCCCACTAGGTGCGAATCTACGCGTCGAAATACAACGTTTGGCAAGAATAATCACTGCTCTCACGACGGTTGTCTTGCGACCGTTCAAAATTCGTGGTTTCAATTCGACCGAGTTCAACTCTTGGAGGAGGCGTAGGAGTGTTCATGACCACAGCAGCTACATTACACGTAACGTTACGAGGCCAACGAGCTAGACCAACGTGCATCTTCAATGGTGCACGTCTGCTCCAGGACGGTAGCGAGGAATTGTCCAGTATGAATCCCTCTGTGCTCGGTCCGATGCACCCATGGCTGTATCCACACATTTCTCACACGTGAGAAACGGTTTCATGCAAGTTTTTCACACGTGTGAAATCACCATGACTTCATGGGGATCGGCCAACTCGCGGGCCGAGAGAGGTGGGTTCCAATTTGCTCAAGCTATAAAAGACACTATTATCCACGGCAGCGCTTCGTATATTGCAGTCTTGGCTCCAACTGCGACGCCGGTTGGGTCGGCGATAACGATTTCCATGATGACGTGGTCCACACAAGATACTTTTTTGCATACCGTAAATGGCACATGAGTGAAGACTGTAAATCCTAGCGAGCTAAGACTGGAAATCCTAGCGAGCTAAGCTCTAAACTACAGCCAGCAGTGACTTTTGAATGCAGTCGGTCTTCGTAATACTCGCTACGCTACACTGCGACGTCCTCCGTTCAGCGCAAAGGATCCAGCGCCGAGCATCGGTCCGACAGTCGACCAACTGGCTGCAATCCGACCATGCCCCAGCGCAGCGATTGTAGGCCGAGCAATGGATCCTCCCGCTTCAGCGCCAGTCGTTCACGGCTACGGGCAGACGGCGCGACAGAACTGCGCGACAGCTTTGAAACACACTGACGAGATACACTGGCCTCGCCAAAGCCCGGATTTACCCATTTAACCCTTTGTACACCCCCGTTCGGAGCGTGTTTTTGTAAACTTCGTTTCAGAGTTTCGTGCGTCGCAAGTGGCGCGTCGACGTCGACGCACTCACTACATGTAAATTGGTCCGTGCCTGTCCAGCCTTTCGAAGCTCTCGCTCTTGATAGCTAGTATTATCTCGAGTGGGTGCTAGACGTAATAGTAGCCTTGGCGAGAAACGCTAAGCTGATCGGTGGCTTAATTTCCGATGAACCATCTGCCGCGGCGACACCGTCGGCGCTCAAGAGGGCAGGTCTATGGTGCAAATCGGTATGGAATATGCATCAAAACACCGAAACCAAGGCTCGAATAAGGAGTGCGCCTGAAATAAGGTCGCTGATTCCGCGAGCATCCCACCAGCGGCGACACGCACCAGCTCAACACGTATACTTATACCACGCACCTCACGTCGTTCGTCGTCAACGAGCGATTGTAATATAAGCTATTCGCTCGCTGCATACCACGCACGATCCAGTACTACCTTGCTTGGAGCGGTCGTAGTCGCTTCAAGATTCAGCAAGTGCACCAGCCGCCTCCTTGCCTCCTTGCTCACGGCCAACGGTAAGCTCGGCGGCGCGCTTCGCCATCTAAAGGCGGTGACGAAGCAAAGACGGCACTGTCTCGTACAACAAGATACTTGCTACTAGTACTCGCCTGGACAAGCTACTGCGGCGACCACGTTGGAGCTGCCACGCGGTCGTCGCAATCGGTCGACGTCCGAAAGTATGCAAAGTTATCGCTCAGCTGCCATGGACATCGTTGCGTTTGATTGGCCAAAATGCAAAATGCAAGGTGATGCGAGGCAGTGATTGGCTCAAACCTACACCAGGGTGATGCCGTGACACACAAGTGCAATCTGCACGAACCAGATGCGGGCGTGGGCAGCGTCTACGGCGCATTCCCGAATTTCACTCTTCCCATGTATTACGTCCCGCGCCTTCTTGCGGCCATGGCGTTGGCTGCCAGCGCCGTCTCGGCGGGCCTCTGCACCGCCGTGCCACCCGTCTCATACGCCGCAGCGGCCCAAAAACCGCACTTGAAACCTGTCGTCGACGTGTTGCGCGAGTATGCGACCGCGACCTGGTACACGGACCGCGGTGGTGACTCGATCTCGGAATTGCTCTCAAAATGCGCCGGCGCCACCCCTGTCATTGTCATCTATGGTCTTCCGGGCAAGGACTGCGCGGGGCACTACTCGTCGAACGGCGGCAACCAGTCGCCGGCCGACTATGCGCGCTGGATCGACAGCCTCGTGTCCCGCGTCGGCAACACCAACGTCATTTACATCCTCGAGCCGGATGCGATTGGCAATTTGGCCAACAACGAGTGCGCGACACAACGAGGGTACCTCCCGAACCTCAAGGTCGCGCTCACAAAGCTCTCGTCGAATGCAAACGCGCAGATCTACGCCGATGTCGCGGGCTGGGCCAATCAAGGCGCGGCGCAAGAGGTGCTGTCCAACCTCAAGTCGGCCGGTCGCCTTAACGGCATTGCCATCAACACGTCCAACTACAAGGACACGAACACGCTCAAGAGCATTTGCCAAGCGTACTCGAGTGCGACCGGTGGTCTCCACTGCGTCTTTGATACCTCGCGCAACTACCGTGGGTCGCCTCAAAGCGAGTGGTGCAACGCCAAGTCGGGTGGCATTGGCGCGCCGCCGGGGACACCGACAGGCAGCTCGATTGTCGACCACTACCTCTGGATCAAGGTGCCGGGGGAGAGCGACGGGGGGTGCGACAACGGCACGCACTCGTCCGACGCGAGCAAGGGGCCTGCCGCCGGTGAGTTCTTTGAGAACCACTTGGCGCAGCTGTGGGACCAAGGTTACTTTGTCAGCGAAAAAGGCATGCCCAAGATCGGCGGCAACTGGGGCAACCAACCGTCGCCGCAACCATCGCCGCAACCGTCGCCGAGCACAAGTGCACCCGCGACGTCGACACCGGCACCAACAACCGAGACCCCGGCACCGACAACGGAAACAGTGACACCGGCACCGACCAATGCGACGACAACGACACCGGCACCCACGACGACGACGACCGAAGAGCCCGCCTCGGTGACCGAAGCAGCGTCGATTGCGCCGACGACCAAGCCGATGGCGACAACCGCGGCCGCCAACGTTGTGAGCGTCCAGTCGGGCGGCGAAGAGTCGTCGAGCAACGGCATTGTGATTGCGCTTGCGTCGCTCGTCGGTGTCGCGGCGGTCGTGGCCGCGGTCCTTGCGGCCGTCGTCATCCGAAAGCGCAACTTGCGCGAGAAGGACGACGACATGATCGAACGCGACTCGCGCGGCATCGTCGTGCTCGTGGGTACCTCCCGGTACAGCGAAGCCGTGCTCTAAGCCCAACATGCGCCTTTGCTCCATCCGTCAGTCGTCCGTCGTCGTCGTCGTTGTTGTGTGTGTTGAAATTGTATATGTGTGTTTTCTACGAGCTGTGCGTACCGGTCTGCACAACAGAACAGAAGCGTGACCGTTCACAAATACAGTAGACCAATACAGTCCGACATGGCGCGGTGAACCGAAGAGGGTCCATGTTATCGGTCCATACGATGCTCTTGTGATGGTTGTCGATGGTCGTCGTATCACGACACACAGCTGTACAGCTAGGACAGCACTTTTGTGCAGCCAAAGACAATCTGAAAGAGTGAGATGGCCATTGCTTTGCTACTCAGCCGGCGAGTTGCGAGTGTTTTGTTCCGGCATGGGCGGTGCAGAGGATGCCACGTGTACAAGGCAGTCTTGGGCGCATTTCATGAGTCACATACGTACTATCTGCATCCCATTGCGCAGCTCGAAGGAGGACATCTGCCCTGACTCTAGTTTCAACCGACTGCAACGAGCCCAAAAAAGCTAAATCACGTGCTTCCGTTTTTCAAGTGCCAAGAGCATGGCACTGGACAAAGGCTGGCGACACCCCGTTGATTGCTGCTTCTGCGCTGCGAACTGAAATCATGAAGGCAAGAGCAACCGCATCATTGCATTGAAGCCGACGTGACCTGCAAGAGGGGAGGTATCTTTCTTGTGCCCGCGAACGATCTCATGAGCAGCACCACGACGGCGTCAGCAAGGTGCCGAGCTCACTACATCGCGCACACTGGAAGATCTGCCTGATCTGCTCGAGGCAAGCGCCACACGGCGTATCAACCGCCAAGTGCCCCTCCAAGTGCAAGGTGGCGCGAAGAACCACAATGGACTAGGATACCGTTCCGTCCGTCGCGGGTTCGAATCCCACTGGCGACTGACCGGTTCACTGGACCGAAATGTCAATGGCATCACGGAAGCTTTTCCATCTCAACGTCTTTCGAAAATCAATCGGGTTGGTCGGCAGAGATGAAAGATGCTTCTGCTCTGCTCGTCCACTACGTTGCGTTGGAGCGTCAGGAGCGAGGTCGCCCTACATACTACATAGGATGGCACCGACGACTGGTATCTACGGACCCATCCAACCCTCTGTCGATCGTCACTGCTGGTGGTACCGAACGCTGCGATAGACCGCGCGTCGCGAACTCGACTTCCGAATCGGCCAAGCGCGGTCAGTCGTTGACCAAGCCTGTGGTGCCTATCAGCCACTAAAGCCTGCATCTCGTCGCATTATCCGGACAAATCCACCTCATATCCGGACACCATCAACAACCACACGCGACTGTATTCGGCTATATCTCGACTGTTAGAGATGCCTTGTGCATTCGACTTGCATAGATAGCTTTCTCCAAAGATGTTACTTCTTTCTATAAAGTCCTTTTCTCCATAGCCCCGCAGACGACAAAGCTATTCGTGGTCAATGGAACCCTTCCCCGACGACCACTCTGCGGTAGCTCGACCCGATGGCGCACCTGGCACATGGTTTCCAGTCGACGGTCGTTGGGCCGATCGCCGTTCCTGCTGCCATTGACGACAGTGGATTGGAAAAAAGAAAATGCAAAAATGTGAAAATGTAAAAATGGAGCGTGAAGCAGGGCTCGAAGTGGTCCCGATCTCGTTCGATCGGCAGTACTAGTAGTGGGAACCATGACGGAATCGTTATCGCTCTAGCGTTCGATCGACCGAAGGGTAGGCGCGCGTTCTTTGGTGCGACTTGCGACGCCCACACGTTCGGGCAAGCAACTGCGATATCACATCTTCGATTCTCGCTGCGCCACATCATTGGCTCCTCGCATCGTTACTTATGGCTAAGATCACCCAAGAGCTGCCGCGTGGGTTCGAAGCCGCCACCTGGTGCTTCGGCGAGCCCACGCCTCGCATGCCATTCACGTATTTGCGGCAGCATGAACATTCGGAGCGTGCTTGCCGTCGCGTCGGCCATGGCCACGTCGGTCGCCGCCGGCCTCTGCAACGCTGTCCAGCCCGTCTCGTACTCGGAGGCAACCAAGAACGCCGCCTTCATCCCGGCCATCAACGAGCTCAAGAAGCACGCTGTCGGCAGCTGGTACTCGGACCGCGCCCACGGCGACCAGATCGACGCTCTCATGAGCCAGTGCGGCAACGACATCCCGGTCATCGTCATCTACGGCCTGCCCAACAAGGACTGCGGCGACGGCGGCTACTCGAACGGCGGCAGCAACAAGGACGCCGCTGCGTACGCAAGCTGGATCCAGTCGCTCGTCGACCGCGTCGGCCAGAAAGAAGTCATCTACGTGGTCGAGCCGGACGCCATTGGCCTCATCTCGGGCAACGCGTGCGCCGTCGCCAACAACTACGAAGCCAACTTGAAGGTCGCGATCCAAAAGATCTCGACGAACGCCAAGGCCCACATCTATGTGGATGTGGCGGCGTGGTCGACGCAGAAGACGGCGGTCGATGCGCTCAACCGGCTCAAGTCGGCCGGCCGCATCAACGGTATTGCCGTTGACACATCCAACTACCACGGCACCAACGAGATGGTGTCGCTGTGCCAATCGTACTCGAGCGCGACCGGCGGTCTCCACTGCGTCATTGACACCTCGCGCAACAGCAACGGGTCGCCGCAAAACGAATGGTGCAACGCCAAGTCGGCAGGTATCGGCGCGCCGCCGACGGACCAGACGGGCAACTCGATTGTCGACTACTACTTGTGGCTCAAGGTTCCGGGCGAGAGCGACGGTCAGTGCACCGACAGCGGCCGCACGTCGGACGCGATGAAGGGTCCGGCAGCAGGTCAGTTTTACCCGGAGGGCTTCCAGTCGTTGTGGGACAAGGGCTTCTTTGTCAAGAGCGGTCAACCCGCGATCGGTGCGCCGCAGCCGCAGCCGTCGCCCCAGCCGAGTCCGTCGCCCAGTCCGTCGCCTCAGCCATCTCCCCAGCCAAGCCCGGCGTCGTCGCCCGCTCCATCACCGTCGCCGTCGCCCGCCCCATCGCCGTCGCCGTCGTCGCAGTACCCGACACCTGCCCCGTCGCCGAGCCCAAGCCCGGCGCCTTGGACAGAAGGTCCGTCGCCCAGCCCGTCGTCGACGAACGCACCGTCGCCAGGCCCATGGACCGATGCACCGATGACCACGTCGGTGGCGCCGTCGCCGGGCCCATGGACCGATGCACCTGTGCAGGCCGAAGCAAGCTCGGTGACAACGGCCCCGTCCGTGACGCCGTGCACCATGACGCCGTGCCCGTCCGCCGATGGCTCGTCGACGCCGTGTCCTGGCATGACGACGCCGACACCTTCCATCCGGTCGGGTACGACGACACTGGCGCCAGCGGTGACGGCCAACGTCCGTAGCGGCGCGGACGAGGCGTCTGGCTCGGGCATCTTTGGGTACATCATGGCCGGTGTCGTCGCCGTCGCCGGTGTCGTCGCCGTCGTCCTCATTGTGCGCGTCGTGCGCCGGCGCATCAGCGACAACAAGCGCATGGACTATGACGGCCGTCCGTCACAAGAGATCGTCGTCTTCACACCGGGCGGGGACCGCATTTTGTAATCGTCCTTGCGACCGTGTGGATGTGTTCAGTCGCTAGAATTAGTTAGTAGGTAGTAGTAATCTATTGTTGAATGTATCGCATTTGTTGTAACCTACCTCCATTGTCCACTCTTGGTTTGGTGGCGGGAGCACAAGGTGCGGCTCCTTTAGAAGCTGCAGTAGCGTTGTTTAATGTAAAATGTCTTTATTCCCATGGGGGCAATGCACTGGGGGCAATGGACAATATGTCAATGGACCGGTAGCCAATGGAAGTAGCGTGGCGGCTTCGAGGCGAGAGGCCACATCATGCGAACTCCCTACCTAGCCTCCTGTTGACGCATCCCGTCCATCTCGACGGTGAAACCTCAACGTGCTGGCAGCGCTTGAACGCACCACGCGTGCTCCATGTCCTCGGACTTGGTGCGAGAATGGAGTGCCGATGAATCACTGGGATGCGTCACATTGCTCTCAACGCTTACGGTTGGGTGGCAGCATTGAAACGGTTGAAGTGCAGGTAGAATGCATTGATGCGGTTCCGGCCGGCGGCGGCGGGTTGACGGCGACATGATAGTAGAGAACAACACGACGACGACGACGACTCGGTGGGTCACGTGCGACGACGGCCACGGCGGCTCGTACCTCTACAATCCGTTTACGATGGAAATCCAGCGGCCGTCCGAGCCGAACGACCTCGAGAAGCAGCTTCAGTTCCAGCGGTCGTTTGGCGCATCCACGGGCACGACACCGACGTCGCTTGGGACGCCGATCGATGCACACACACGCGCCCTCATGGCGCAGGATCTGAGTGACGACGACGACGACGACGACAATGGCGGTGTTCTGGCACCACCGGACGACGAGACCACCGCGAGAAATGCAATCAGAGACGACGACGACGACGACGACAACGATTTCATGAGCCAAGTACAAAAGCAAATGACATTTGCCACCGAAGCACCGGGTCGGCCGCCGGACGCGTTGTCACCTGATACGACGCCCACGCCCCCGGAGACAGGCATCACCCCCCGCGAGGATACACCCACCCAACCGAGCAGCGAGAACACGCTATTGGCAGCCCCATCCGTGGCAGCCACCCTGCCGCTAGACGATGAGCAGTCTTCAGACCGCGAGACGACGACTGCGCTCTGCGAATTTGCCGCCGAGGAAAGCTCAAGCCCTGTGGACGACGCCTTCGAGCCGCTCCCACCCCCTCCAATAGCAAGCAAATCGATCAACGTTGACGCCCCTCTTGTCCTCGCCGCGTCCCAATCGATCGACATCCTTCCGCCAATCAATCCGAACGCGAGCCTCGCGCGCCAACCCACATCGCTACCGGACCTACATACGTGGCCCAGTGATTTGCTCGCGATGAAGCCAATTTCACCCGCTTTGCTTCCGTACGTGCATGGATTTGAACCGTCACCGGCGCGCACCGACCTTGTCTCAAAGCACAAGCCGCTGCATCCAAAGCCACCACCGCCAAAAAAATGGCCATCGAGACGCAAAAGGCGCGCTACCGTACGTCGTTGGAGCGTCGATGCCGTGTTATGCACGGATATTCTAGTCGAAACGATTGCAACCCATGTCAAGCATCGACACCCTGACAGCGAAGAGCAGGTAGAGCGACAACTTTTGTCCTCGAATACTGGGACCTTCTACATAAATTATGTACTAGGTGGACACTGGCATCGTTAGACACGTGGTGGCACACGCCCAATGTAGGTCAAGGCGTGGCTCGAGCGGAAGAAAGCCGAACAAGCCAAACTGCGCGCGCTTCAAGCCGCCCATGACCCCAACGAGATCCAAGCCGAGAAGGCGCGACGCCGCGCCGAAGCGCAGCACCAGTTTGAACTCTGGCGCCACGAGAAAGCCAAGCTCACGCACAAACTCGCCAAAGAAAAAAAAGCCGCCGAGCACGCCCGACTCGAGGACCGACGCGTGTTGCACGCGACGCACGCGGCCGAGATCAAGGAGGTGCAGCTCAAGACACAGGTGCGAAATGTCCATTGACGCGAGGACAACACGGATGAACTAGGAGCGCCTGGCGACCATACAGCACGAAAAACACCAACAGCAACGCCACCGCCGACGCAAGGTCGACCATCGAGTAGAGTCTCGTGTTAAGACGACTTGTGCATGCTTAGGTCGCCAAGCTCGTGCAGCAGCGGCAGAGTCGAGAGTACGACGATATGCTGGACCGCCTCGAGAAGATTCAAAGTGTCTTGACGCGCGTGACCCAGAAACCATAGACGTCATCGTCATGTTGAACAACATTTTTTGAAGGCAGACGATATTGCAAGGCAGGCGAATTCAGATCCGAGAGGCAAGTCGATCGAGGATTCGGTTGGCTCCGCATCGAGTACTAGTATGCATTTATGGAACCCACAAGATCGCTTTCAGATCCAACCTCTCGCACCACACGAGATCGATCGTCCCGTGATCATGCCAGCAGCGTTCGCAGGCATTCGGTCGTCCCACAAGTGGCACCATATTGCTGACGCCGACGACACGCGACCGCTATCGTGGACGATTGGGCTCGCTGCCCACGACCCGACAGCGCTTTTGAACACGTTGACAGAGGTGTCGACGCCCGGGCATCCCCGATATGGCAAGTACCTGGACATGAACGCAGCAAATGCGCTCACGGCACCCGCCTCGTTCGTCCTCGACGCGCTGCACATGTGGCTCGGGCACCGCCGCACGACGTACTCGGCGGCGACCAACACGCTCGTCGTCCACAGCAGTGTCCGCGAAACACGCTTGCTCCTCCGCACGTCGATCGGCGAGTTTCGACACCGCACATACGCAAGGATGCGCGCTTTTAAAGCCTCGTCACCGATCGTGCTGCCAGCGCACATTCAGGCGCTACTGACGTTTACGTCGTTGACGACGGGACCGCTGCACCCCAAGCCGCATGGATCGCGTATTGATCCAAGCGCGCCGGATGGAATCCCAAGGTCGACACCGAGCTTCCTCCGATCGCTCTACCGCGTCCCACCCAATGCGACGGCCAATAACGCCACGCAAGCGATCGCAGCGTTTTACGACGAAGCGTGGAGCCCAGACGATCTCGCTCGCTTTCAAAGGATGTTTGGCCCCACAAGTGCGTTCACCGTGGTGGCCCAGCGCGGCGACCGGCTCAACGACGCGTCGCATCCGACGGGCGAGGCCTCGCTGGACCTGCAGTACATTACGGCCATGGCGCCGGGGGCCAACACGACAGTCTGGAGCATTGACGGCAGCAACCCGTCTTCGTCCGAAGACGAACCGTTTATGTCGTGGGCTCACCAGGTGCTCTCAGACCCTGCACCGGCGCTCGTCCACTCGATCTCGTACGGCGACGAGGAAGCCCGCATCATGCGAGTGGCCAAGCCCTACGCGTTCCACCTGGATACGCTGTTTCAAAAAATGGCTGTCCGCGGCCTCACGGTCCTCGTGGCCAGCGGCGACGACGGCGTCGCAGGTGTCAATGACGATGGGAGCAAGAATGCCACGAGTCGATGTGCCGTCTCGGCGCCCGAGTGGCCCGCGTCCAGTCCGTACGTCACGACGGTCGGTGGCACGCAGCTCGGCGACGATGGCGACGAAGTGGTCTGTTCGGGCGCAACCAACGGCGTCATCACGTCCGGCGGCGGATTCTCCAACGTGTATGCGACACCAGCCTACCAGCGCGACGCTGTGCGAGCCTATCTCCACGGCCCCCATGCACCGTCGCAAATCGGTTTTTCAACCACCACGGACGGGGGTACCCCGATGTGTCGGCGCTCAGCACCAACTACCCCGTGGTCATTGACGGTCGCGTCAATAGTCTCTATGGTACATCCGCGTCGACGCCCGTCGTTGCGGGGCTGGTGACGCTCTGGAACGAGCTCCGCTTGACGCACGGACAAGCGCCGCTCGGATTCCTCAACCCGCTCCTCTACCAGATGGGCGCGCGGCACGGAAGCGCCTTCTTTGACGTGCTTGTCGGTGACAATGGCGCAAGCGCAAACGGCGCGTTCGTCTGCCCGCATGCGTTCGGCGCAGGTCCCGGCTGGGATGCAGTGTCGGGGTGGGGCACGCCTCGCTTTGACCTCATTGCGCGTTGTGTGCTGGACACTGGAAATGCTGTCTCCAAGTGAGACTGTGGCCATGAAAGCATTCTAATGAATCTACTTGTATGCATGTTTTGTTACGTTCTACAATCCGATGCCTTTCTTTGTCGTGCAGTCAAGGTCTTGATTGCTTGGATCTTTGATTCAGAATGTAGATTCGATGTGACGACATTCACATCGAATCAAGGGCCCTGGTTGTGCCACGTCATACGTTCTTATATAGGCAAGTTGCTAAGGCAGCCGGCAACCAATGCCGGTAAAATGCACCCGTGCCTTACGAATAGACAATGCGATAGCATGCGATCGTTCTAGTACGTGAATCTTAGTACGCGGAGACTTATGTCTGTATATATAGTTAGCTCGTTCAATACGACCAATCCACCCATGAATCAATCAATCAATTGATGAATCAAACCAAGATCGTTCCGATTAGAGTCCTGTCCATGGGTATAGAGCGCTTCTGGATAATGGCGACGTTCATCTCTCTAATTGGTTGCACTCGACCAGTACAAGAACTCAGTACAAAACAACGTCGATCACATAGGTCTTCTTGGACATTAGTGCACTCTAAACTATGTTTAAACTATGGTGACGGCTGTGCCGAGGCACTCGGCCTGATACGTGCGTCGCGTGCTCAAGCTGCATGAGGTACGTCGAAAGAAACGAGCCGCGGCGACTCGAACTATAAGCGCTATTCGCTCGGCTTCGCGACGTGGCCGACGACCGGGATGAAAGCGTGCCGGGCTCGGACCGGGCTGTGTGGCACAGGCGCACGGGTGGCGGCGACGGTGGGCGCAGTGGCGAGCCTGTAAAGCACTCGACACACAGATGCACTGGAAATACCTTGTAGGGCAGCTGGACATCCCACGTATGACTGCAGTGCCGGCATGCATACTACGCAACCAGCAGCGTTGACCTCTGTGTCATAATAGAGAGCGCTACCTCCCCGCAGGCGTGGCAGTGGCGTCGCTGGGACCGCCACAGCGACAGTCGATGGTCACACACACCGCACGCCAGCGGCGCGCTCGCTCGTTGACTCGTTATTGGTTGAAAGACGCGGGTGTCAATCTTGGCGGCCCAGCGTTGGAGGCAAAAATGCTCTTCCAAATGCAGCATCTAAACGCACGCCATAATCGTGTCTTCATGTCCAGATGGTCTCGTACCTGCTGGACGTGGCGGATGTTGCATTTGAGGTTGAGAAAGGCCGGCATCTTGCCGTTCGGCTTGGTGACGTAGACGAGGTAATAGTCCCACACATTGGCCGTCGCCGACTCGACAAACACGTGACCCGACTAAATAGCATTCGTCACCACGAGCCAATTGTCCATTCTGTACACGTACGCGGAGTATCGACGCGCGTATGAGGTG